ATAAAATAAAATAATATAATATTTATTATTTTCTACAATATCCGTTCTTTATAGCTTTATAGCACTATATTATACTTTCAGGTTAAGAAGATTCTCCAATCTTTTTTCTAAATAAGAATTTGAATATTGAGGAGCTTATTTTCTCATAAATATATTGAGAATGTTTTCAGATTTTTTGATTGATTTGACAGCTTTTCTTCAAACGATTTTCTAAAGAGCTTAAATTCTTATAAAGAAGAGGATTTTAAGATTTTAATAATTTAACTGTTTTAAAGAATATAAGAATTATATATGTGGATATAAAAGGAAGATTTAAAGATTTTGGAATTAAAAAAATGAAGTTTTACTGTATCATTTTGTTTGTAATTAAAATATGTAGTCGTTCTTGAATTTTTTTCGGATTTTTTTGATGGCTACAGATACTTGAATTTTGAAGTTCGTAGCGCTACAAACTTTTGTTTCGATTCAATAGAACAGACTTATGATATTCTATAACTAGACGTGGAGTGGATGGAAGTTCATCTATATTTACAAAAAAGTTCAGGCAAGTTCAGCTGCAAAGAATAAATTGTTTCTCATGTGCCTCGACTGCTATCTTAAGCTGTTTCAAGATTTCTGATATGCTTTTAAGAATATTCTTATTTATTCTTCACACAGTTTTCTTCGTAAAACATAATGATCAACATATATATATCATTCTGTTAAATCCTTTCTCCTTTTATATTGCAACTTTTTACATGAGAAAAAAGAAAAACTTTTTGAACTTCTTGTCTGAAACACATTTAGCCCAGATATAAAAAGACTAACTTCTATCTAAATTTTAATGAATCTTTCATTCTCAATATTAACCTTTATTTTTATCTTTCCCACCTTTAGAATCCTTCAAATAGCTTTTTCAGAATTTCTATATATATTTTATAATTTTTTTGTAAATTTGTTCTATAATTCTTAAATTTATATGTGAAAAATAGAAGTTTGAAATAATAATAAAAATATTCTAAGATTTCTCATTTTATAATTAATAATAAAAAAATCTGATGAAATCTGATGAAATAATATTTTTTCTTTTAAAAATCTTCATAAATTAAAAATATGAAAAATTCTTAAAGACAACAATTTTTTTTCATTAGAATAGCAATTCCAAATTCCTATTTTTAAAAAAAAATCTGCTTTTATATTATAATCGTTCTTCATTAATTATTATTTTAACAAAAAAAGATAATCTAATATCACAAAATAGTGACAAAATAGTTTTTCCAAAAAAAGAAATCTAGAGTTTATAGAAAAAATTAAAATAAAATAAAATGTTTATCAAATAGTAATAATAAATTTTTTTAAACAAAGATCTGGCGTTTTGTCCGTAATGGATTGTCATGAATTCTGGATCGTGTAAAGTGGGCTGTTGAATTCTATCCGTTCTCTTTACACTGTTTACCGCCTTATCCTCTTCTACCTTGTCTCAACGGAGCATAAATGTGTTTCGAGTGCGGGAAGTGCAAGGAGTACAGTTAGGACGAACCGATCTGTATACAATGCGTCCCAGATCAATGTAACGAGTTTTAAGAGAAAGAGAGAGGAGTGGAGAGAGAATTAATTGCAGGCGATATATTTATCTTGCTTACCGTTAATATATTCCTTGATAAAAAATTATTATCTCTATATTTTTTAAGAATTATTCATATTTCAGACTTATGAATATTTCTGAAAAATACTTTAAAATTTAAGATTTATCATCTTTAGATTTTAAAAGATTTCTTCGGAAATTATTAGAATGACAAATCTTAGAATATTTCAGAATTAATATAAAGGATATATACACATATAAAGGATTCTTTATATCTTCACGTAGAAAAGATCCCAATCGACACAAACTAAAAGTATAACATAATATCTATGTTATATTACATTTATAATATTTAGAGTTTAGAGCTTTGTTACTTTTATATTTGGTGTCAAGTGGAATATAGACTTTCTCAACACTTTTAAGAAACATCTCAAATCTAAGAAAATTTTTTAAGAAATTATTATATTAATTAAAAAAAAAATTTTTTTTAATTTATGTAAAAACTCAAGAGAATGAAGAATTTTTTTTTTAATTTTCATCAGAGTTAGTAAGTAAAATATTAATAATCTGCTTAGATTTCTAAGATTTTTCATTCTATAATTAATAAAAAAATGTATATAAATTTAAAATCTGAAGAAACAAAATGTTTCTTCGAATATTCATAAATTTAAATATGAAAGATTATTCATATAAATATTTGAGTAGAATATTATGATTAGCATATCTATATTAAACTATTTTGTCAGTCGACTATCTGCAGTTAATATCATGGCATATTTTCATGTAAACTCTGATAGAAATCAAGAACCGATCATTTCGCAACCATTTAAACAGAATACATTATTCAAATGACACGTTGTATTCGATTTTTATCAAGTCAATTTGCCATATTTTGTTAGCAATTTCTGTTATATTTTTACATATAAAATGTGATAGGTACTTATAAAATCTATCCTTGACAGATTTTATTATCTGGAACTTTTTTATGAAATGAATATGTTTCAATACGTTTTTTATGTTTCGAAAATTATATCTTTTGTAAATATCGAGCCATTGAGGTCAAGCAGAATATCAATATTAATATAAGTTATTAAATCAAATATTGATCTTATTAAATAAAAAAATTATTTTAAGGTAAACCGCTTAAATCTTAACTAAAAGATTGCGATAAACGTAAAATAAAAATTATTTACTGAGAAAGGTTTCGGGTCAATCACGACAGATCCATCATTCTTTGCGTAAAGATTATTCAAATTTTGACTTTGACTTAAATTTGGATTAATTAAAGACGCAAAGATTGCGAATTAGAGATTATAATTCAATCAATCAGACAATCTTAATTTTAATCCGTTTCGTTTTAATTGGCTGAATTATAATTTTCAATTCACAATCTTCAATGCGTATATATATATATAGTGTGGTCTTTAGACAACATGAATTTCCGCGATGATACATTCATACTTCATTATATTTACAATATAAAAATAATGATGGGAAGGCGAAAAGTATGTAAAATGCCAGCTAATACACTTTATTTAAATAAATTATGTACAAGTGTGCTTCAAGCCGGATCGAGGCGTTCGATCCACGCTTTCATCGCTTAGAACATAAATTAAAGTGTTAATTTCTTTTACGATAAATTGACTGCAAAGGCCTTCGCTCTCTCGTGTCCTTCGAACCATCCTTCCACGTTCCTCCAACCCTCTTTAGGTCTCTTTCCTGAACGAGTCTCTTCTTCGGTTATTATCCCGTTCACGAGATGTGTTCACGCAGACATTGTTAGAAATTATCACAGTCTGTCTATTTACAGCGTTAAACGTTAACGTGATGATTCTAATCTAGAGAATTAACATTGCCTTTCGCTCACGTGTCTCGAATACTCTGTGCCATGCACTCGCTAGCGTTTTAACGTTCAGAAAAACTCGAGGAAAAAACACCACATACGCCCATACCTAAACGCATACATACATACGTGCACAGACACACACATACACACGCATACATAAACGCTATAAACATGGAAATTTGTGAAACGGATAATACTTTAACTGTACGTGCGAATCCCAAGGAAACGCTTTTCGTGATAGCGAACCCACTAAGGAAGTAAACTTACATATTAATACATATATATTACACACACACACACACACACACACACACACACACACACACACACACACACACACACACACACACACACACACACACACACACACACACACACACACATATATATATATGTGTGTGTGTGTGTGTGTGTGTGTGTGTATATATCTACCAAATATCGGACAACTTAACAGCGCGAAATCGTATAGTTGCATAGTTAAGAGCAACAATGCTGTCTGATTCAGAATTCGTGGAACTTTGTATTGCTGTCCGATTCAAAATTCGTAGAACTTTGCGTTTACATCATAGATGTAAATGCATAATACAAATAGACGTAGAACGATATTCACAGTCTGATTTCATATTAAAGAACGTAATAACGGAAAGCTATACGTTCATTTCGTTGGCTGCAATCTTATTTAACAGTTTCTTCAGTCTTCAAACATTTAGATCTAACTAAAGTCCGATTCCATCAATGTGAGATTAAATTTAATCTCGGTTCAAGTAACTCTTTATTTTTTCTGATTCTACTAAGATTAAAGTTAATCTATATTAACTAATAAGTCCATTAAATTTA